ACACACACATACACACACACACATACACACTCTCTCTCTCTCTCTCTGTCTCAAACGCGCTCACATACACACACACACGCACACACACACACACACACACACACACACACACACACACACACACACACACACACACACACACACACACACACACACACACACACACACACACGCACACACAGTTACATATCGTCGTGTTTGTAGATATATACTTTCATAAATAAAACTAAATGGATGAATGAATGACTAAATAGATAAAAGATAAGTAAATAAATAAATATATAAATAAATAGATGAATGAATAAGTAAGAAGTGAATAGATAAAAATAATTGATAAATGCACATACACGCACACGCACACGCACACGCACACACCTCCACACCCACACATTCACCTTCCCCCCCCTCCCCCCCCCATTCCCCATCACACACCCAGACACAGATACCCTCCCCCTACCCCTCCCCTCCCCCCCCACACACACGCTTTCACACAAAGACACAATCACTAAGGAGCTGTGACGGGAAGGGGTGGGGTGAGGGGGTGGGGGGTGGGGGTTTAGGGGGTTGGGTGCAGAGTGGGGGGGGGAGGGGGGGTGCCAAAGAGTGCCAAGAACTTGTGCTTCCAGTCGCTTGTCTGTCCGCTGTCTGTGCATTCGGAATTGATGGCTCTGTTAGATCCTTTGGCCCGTTCGAATTAATAATATTATTATTTTTTTCCAAATTGATTTATGTTTATTCTGTATTTTATTATTATTTTTATTTTATTATCATTTTTTTTTTTTACTTTTTTTTTCTTTATTATCATTTATTTGCTTCATTATTGTTGTTTTTTTCTTTCTCTTTCTCTTTACTTTTGTTTTCTATGTTTTGTTTTTGTTTTTGTTGTTTGGTTTATTCATTCTTTTTGTCATTATTGTTATGTCTTATTAGTTTCATGTGTCTGTCTCTTACTTTCTCGTCTTTCTTAATCTCTCTCTCTCTCTCTCTCTCTCTCTCTCTCTCTCTCTCTCTCTCTCTCTCTCTCTCTCTCTCTCTCCCTCCTTTTCTCCCTTTCTCCCTTTCTCCCTCCCTCCCTCCCTCCCTCTCTCTCTCCCTCTCTCTCCCTCTCTGTCTGTCTCTCTCTCTCTCTCTCTCTCTCTCTCTCTCTCTCTCTCTCTCTCTCTCTCTCTCTCTCTCTCTCTCTCTCTCTCTCTATTTCATTCATATTTGATTTACTGCATTTCCTCTTGTTATCTCATTTTTTATTTTATTCCTGGGTCATATTCCTTATTACATTTTCTCTCTCTCTTAATATTTTTTCCCTGATTTTTATCAATGTTTGACTCTTTCTTAATAATTTTCCTTGAATTAATTTATTTTTCATATCCAATTAGTATTTTCTTTTTAATTTCGCCTTTCCTTTTTTTCCTTTTTCATATTATTTCTTCATAATAATGATTCAGATGATAATAATAATAATGAAAATATTTCATCGTTATTGTTATTGCTATCATTAGTGTTATCGTCATCATCATCATCATCATCATCATCATCATCATCATCATCATCATCATCATCATCATCATCATCATCATCATCATCATTATCATCATCATTATCATCATCATCATCATCACTATCTTATTCAGTGTCAACATCTCCATCAGTATCAACAACTATTGATATTATCATTATTATCATAATTGATATTATTACCATTATTATCAATATCATTATCAATATCATTATCATTACTAGTATTATGATCAGTCCTTATTATTTGTACTTTTTCTTATTTTTTATTTGTTTTTGATTATTACTATTTTCATCCTTATTTACTTTTATCATTAATCCTATCACTGTTTATTTATTTATTTTTTTGTTTGTTTGTATATAATTAGGCTTCGTATAGCATGTCTTACCGTGTTCAAGAAGCTTTCCGCGTGTTCAGCTTATCTGAACAATGTCCACGAGTCCTCAGCTGCTTATCAGTGTTCTTTTAGCGTTAATCGGTGTAACAGTGTGTTCATAAGTGTTCAGAAAATGTTCAAACTGTAAAACATCTGTTCACTGATGTTCCTATGTTCAAAATTGTAAACTTCAGTTCACAAATCTTAAAGACTAGACATCAGTACACAAACCGAGCACACATGTTCAGAATGTTCAAAACCTTCCATAAGTGTTTACAAACCGCACACACACCCGACCGGAATGTTCAAAACTGTAAACACCTTTAAAAACAACAGCACTGTTCACCTGCATCTTAAAATATGCATTGGTGTTCAAAGTGAACTTTCAGTAACTCGCTGTACTTCACAGAACGCAATCTGCATCTGTTCAATGTTCTCAGTTATTTTTTTTTGTTTTGTAACATAATTTTGTAAGCTAATTAACAGACCAAGATAGAACTGTTAGTGTTGACGATCACAATAATAACGTTGATGATAAGGAAAGTTATGATATTAGAATAAATATAATAATGATATTATTGTTTATGATTAACGATAATAACAGCAGTAATAAAAACAGTAATGATAAAGGTATAGGTTACTGTTAATACTGTGACGATAACGATGAAAATTATAATGTTAACAATGATTTATAATACTGCTTGTTAATGTAAAAATGGACAAACTAATGAACATAAAATTAACAAATTGCATTACCATTTAATATCAATGATAATCGTGAGAGTAGTGGTGGTATCAATAAATTCAATAATTATATTAGCGATAATGGTAATAATAATGCTAACAAAAGTTATAACAATAACAAGTAGTAATGATGGTCTTAGTGGTGAAAAATAACGATAAAGTCAAAGATAATGACAAAAAAAGGATAATCATTATCATCAAGTAATTATCTTTATTAAATTGGCAATTATGATAATGTGTTGTGTTGGGCAGTAGTGATATTATGATGATGATAAAAATACATTGCTAATAGTAATAATAATAATCATAATAATAACAATAATGACGATAATAATAATAATAAAACCAGTAATGATAATAATGGTAATAATGATGATAATAATTTTGATATGATGGCCCATGCTAATAATTATATGATATGATAATAATAGTGCTAGTGGTAATGACTAATTGATAATAATAATCATTAGGGTCATAGTAACAATTCTCTTAATTACAATGAGAATAATAGTGTATTCTGATATGATTATACAACAAATATTAGAAATAGCTTAGGCAGTACTAGCAACACTATAACTACTATAGTCATGTCTGGATATTTACGAGGCCCCGCCCCCTTTCATTAGTGCCAGAGACAAAGAAGAAGTTATCGTACCGCACGTCATTTGCCGTCTGGCCCCCGAGGTGATAACATCTCATCA